CGTCAGTGCTCTGGTCTCTTAAGGCATCCTCTATGTGTTTGAAAGAGCCTAGGGATCTAACAGTTTTGAGAATGCCAATGTCCTGGCCATATAAACTCAGAACACCTGTGGTCACCTACACAAGGTCAAGCCAGTCAGAATCCAGCATAAATGCAGGAGGGGCTCTTAAGGGCTGTGGGAGGGAAATTCATTTTTCTTTGGGACTATAGCTATTGGTAGGCTGTTCATGCTTCAGTGGATGGCCCCACACCTGTGCTCACATGAAAAACACTAGCTGAAATGAGTGGGTTATTTTTTAACACTGTGACATGACTTTAGACTGGGAATAGATTGAAGATGAGGCCCATGGGAAACAGGTGAGGGGAATGGTGGCTAGATATAATCAAATACTTTGTATTCATGTGGGAAATTCTATAAATAAATAAATAAATAAATAAATAAATAAATAAATAAATGTTAAATGTTAAAACGCCATGATTCACCCTGCCTCTAGGATAAAGTTCCAGATGCTTTAGAAACCACATAAGAGTTAGTCTCATTTGTTCCCTGACAAGCTGTGTATAATCTTCACCTTCTTTGACCTCCTTGAGGTTCATTCATTTAAAACTTTCAATAAAACACGTGTTTATCTCTCTGTCCTCACACTTGGTGCTTTCTTTAACTTAAATATTTTTCTATGTTCTCAGCTTGACCAACACCATGTCCAGCATTAAGTACAAACAACTCTTTTTGTCGAGACCAGTGTGAACTGTCACTTGTGTGCAGGCCATATGATAATGGCTGCAAGCACTTATCACACTACTATTTAACTCTATCATTAACACCTTTTTACATCATAAGGTACCAAAGGTATAGTGAACAATCAATCCATTTTTAATGAATGAAAGGGTACAGTGATGAATGAACAGAAAATCATGTAAAGGCATGAAACAGAAGAAGGAGGTTAATTTCTTCTAGTTTTCAAGTGCACGTAATTATACTTCAAACTGGAAGAAAAAAAAATGGTTTGGGGTTGGGAGCAAGAAAAATGGTCCTTGAACACTGCAAATTCAGTTCAACACATCACTGACAATAAAACTAAAAGATTCACACTGTGTGTGGTGTGTGGGTGCTGTGGTGTATATGTGGTACACACACACATGAGCGTGCAAATGTATAGGTCCATGCATGAATGTGGAGGTCAGAACAAGATGTCCACTCTCTGCTATTGCCTTCTTATTACTGCCTTGAGAAGTGGAAGCTTACCATTTCACCTAAGCCAGGTGGCTGACAAGCTCTCCCAGGATCTGCCTGTCCAGTGCTGGGGTTGCAGGCATGCACAGCCATGCCCAGATTTTGCTTTTGTTTTCTTTTACACAGGCACTGGGGATTTGAACACTGTTCCTCTTTCCCACTCAACCATCTCCATAATCCTTCCAACAACATTCTTAACAGGATGCATCATGGAACAAGATAGATTAGAATTCTTTGTCCTCACCCTGATCAGTATTTATAAAAGAAGGGGTGATACTTGCCTTTCTAGGGCTGTCATTTATCCTGAGGCAAGCTGACATAGTTCAGATTTATCAGAGCCAAATCATTTGAATCTACTGCAGTATCATTCACAGCAGAGAGGATTTTTCTCCTTACTCACTATGATACCAATTTGGCTGTTTAACAAGTTCTACCAAATTAAGGAGAAAGAAACTGCTGTCCTTCCAGATGAAACTTCTAGCTGTGTCTAATGGTGGCAAGGTTGGCTAAGGAATGGGAAAGAAGCCCTCATGTGACTGACCTTACTTGGTGACAACCTTTACTTTCTGCAACATTGCTTTGTCCTGCTTCTCTTCAGCCTGAATTTCTAGAACCCAAGACTTGAAAGCAGCCTGACAAGCTGCCAGGTAAAACCTGAGTGAGTTTTCTGCCTTCATATTTGACCTCCTTTTGGAATTCAGCTTCTTCCTGCTCATTCCCCTCAACTCACCTCAGGTGTTTAATGATGGCCAGGTTGATGAAACAACGAATAACAATCAGGCATCTCCAGTGTTCAGTGTCTAATTTTCTAGTTTTAAACAAGCTTTCTGTGATGAGTAAGACAGACCAGGTCTGGGTTTTCTTCTTTTCTACTTCTTCTCCTCTTTCTCCTCTTCCTCGTCCTCCTCCTCCTCTTCTTCCTCCTCCTCCTTCTTCTTCTCCTCCTCCTTCTCCTTCTCCTCTCCCTTTCCCTCTCCCTCTCCTTCTTCATAACTTTCATTGAAGAAGTGAAGCTACATCCATTGCCAAAGATTCCCCACCTCCACAGAGTTTATTCCTCTTTATCTATATGTTGTCAATCAGTTTTTAAAGATTATCTGCATTTTTGGCTACACAGTACTGATTTTTGTTCATGCCCTGGTAGCTCCTCAAATCCAGCATGCCATGGGTGAAAACCCTGCCCCTTCCTACACCTCTTCTTTCTACTTCTCTGTCAATGTTATTGTCATTTCCCAGTGACCAGGCACAAAGCCCCAATGACACCTTAATTAGTTTGTCTTCATATACCCCAGTGCTACACCTGGTTCTCTCTATTCTTTTCTCTAGATAAATGCTTTTCCCACCTGTCATTTCCTTTTCTTGCCCAATGCCAGGTTCAGATCCTTATCTCAAGCCTGGGTCACTGTAGCTGCCTATTGATATAGTCTTTCTAGGTTTTCAGAGCATCCTAATCTTTGCTATAGAAATTCTGTAGGTCAGTGTTTGTCTTTCCAAATTCTTTCTTAAGAGCTGTTTTTCTATGCCACAAATACATCACTGTTAAATTCCTATATTTGGCATTTGTAGCCACCTGTAGCCTAGCCTCTTCTCTGGGAACATGTTTTCAGAGATCTATTTGCAATCCCAGCAATACCTTGGATTCTTTCTCTCGCTTCTACCGGAAGTTTTCCTCCTTCTTAGAATTACATAGTAATAAAAAAAAAAAAAGGTGTCCATAATGTTTACTTTGGTGTCTGAAACACCCTGTTCAAAACTTTGTCCTCTGATTAGAAGTGACATCTTAAGATAGCTCTATGCTTCCATTTCCTTATCAAGAAACAGGAACACTTTGCTTGTGGCAATGTTTTAAGCAGTGAATGAAAGAGTGCCAAGTTCACAGTGTATGACTGATCTTAGTAGCAAGCCTATATGCCAAGCAGCTGGAATCCCAGGTTTCTTTTCTAGTGAAGACAAAGTCCAATTGCCAATATGATCAGTAGGATATCTTAAATACCTGAAGCCTTGGGCTGCCTGGAAAGGAAGAACCCATAACCATGTGTTTTCTTGTCTATCCCCTGTATGTCTGTATTTCACAGATAAGAGGGAACCAGTGGGGCTGTCATCCTCGTAGCTGGCCAATTGATAGACATCAATGTATCCATGGTCAAAGACATGTATTGCTTGAGACGCATATATCACGTAATGAGTCACCATCTCTTTTCACAAAACTCAGTCCTTGCATTCCCTGCTCCTCACACTGCCATTCCAGTATGTTCTGAGTCAGGCAAGCCCACCCTTCCTGTCTTGTCGTCCAACAAGTCATGAGGCCTGTTGCTTCACTACACATCACTGACTGGTATGGAGGTGGCAGATCCTCAGTGAGATCATCTATTTGTAAACAGCGCAATCAAAGCATGGAATCTCAGAACCCGAAGTGAGAGGCAGAGTAGGACTGCCCTTCCAACCATCCCCAACATAGGATGTCATCTAGTCTCACCTTTAAGCAGCATGGATGAATCAGTGGTGATTTCTAACTTTGCCTCTGAGCAAATACTTCAGCAGATGGCTGCCGGGCTGATGCCACCCAGAGCTCAGCAGTTGCTGATGGAGAACAGTCAAGCTGCAATTTTCTAAGAGCTTGGGTGTGTCCATAGAAGCCCAAGTGTCCCTTCTTTCAGGCAGTAGTGTTTTCCAGGATTGCAGTAAACTGGATTCAATGGCACTGAGTGGATTCCATGGACTTTGATGCCTGTAGATCTCAGTTTAAGTCTTATCTCCCACATTCTCCATCAGAGGCCTAGGACACTCACTGCTGTGGAACTTTGCACAGATTCCCCAGAGTCTCTGAATCCCAATCTACTCACACTTTAAAAACTAGAGAAATTAAAACCTATTTTTGAGATTAGAAAAATTAAATGAATATATATGCATATATTCTGTGCTATATCTTGTGTCTGGAACAAGATTAATCTTCAACAAATGTTAGCTAGTTTTGTGCTATTATTTTTTTACCATTATTACACCATCTCTTCTGAACTTAGAAGACATCAAGCCAGGGGGTCTTACTAGCCTGAACGGGTAAACTCTACGCTTACAAAGACTCCTATACTAGTATGGTTTGTTCCAACTGCCACAGACAGGAGAGACTTGTGGTTCCTGGTCATGCCTCAGCTACATAGATCAGACCTAAAAGAGGATGAGTTCCAGGTTTGTGGTAGCCATAGAAAAAGTTCTCATCCAGCAAGCAAAATTCAGTGATCTTCCACCAGAAAAAAGAAAAATGAAGAAAGGATAGGGAAAAAAGGGAAGAAGTAGAGCAGAAGGAAGGAAGGAAAAAGATGAACGAAGAGAAAACACATTCATCAGAACTGAATTTAAATTCTTGAATTTGCCATTTCAAATCAGACTCCCTCAGCTGCCTGAGCCTGGGGAGGGGGCAGGGCTTGCTCTAGGAGGAACTCAAAATTTCCAGACCACTTAGAGCAAACCAAGCTAAGCAGAGCAATTACTAAAATGATCTCCATAATCTTGCAGTCATCTCCATCTTGCAGACATATCGAAGTGACTCTGAGCTTAACGTCAGTTTCCCTTCTGTAAAATAGACACGGCAGCAGCCACCTCAGTGAGTCATTACACAAAGTAGACGAAACTGCCAACCCCAAATCCTTAGAACTCGCAGAGTTGATGTATTCTCCTTCAGCATGAGCCTTTGAGGGGTAGTATAAAAAGGAATAAACTAAGGAAAATGCAGGCACGGATGAAAGAATAAATAGGAAAAGAAGCGTTCATAGGAGGTAGAAGCTTTATTATGGTGTCTCCAGGCGACAATCAAATCAGTAGGCCTGTTTTGAACACTGTTGTGCACAACCTCCTACCCATAGCATAGTCAGAGATCCCACCCCTGACTTGTATTCCCTGGGAGGAAAATCAACGTTAGAGGACAGATCTAAGAACAGGATGAGGTTTCTGAACATCAAAGTGCAGTTAGCTTAAGGGGAACCAAATTCCTAGGCCGGTCCTGCCTGTTACTACTATGGAGGACTGGGTGAGAGCAGCAGAGAGGAGGCTGTGCGATTCCAGCTGTTTCGGAGCAGCTCTGTGGGCTCTCAGCAGCCACCGGAGCAGCAGCCTGAGCTCTGATTGTTGCAGGAGCGTTGAGACCTTTGGCTTCCTCCGCAGCAGCCGCAGCCGCTAGTGCGCTGCCGGCGGCGTCTCCTGGGAAAGCAGCAGCAGCCGGTGGAACTGGAGCCACAGCAGCCAGAGTCACCACTGCAGCCACCCCCGCAGCCTCTACAGCAGCCACCGTCACAGCAGGATGAGGAGGACGCGGGAGCAGGAGTAGGGGCGGGGCAAGGGGCGGAACTCTGGGAAGACCCTTTGGAAAAGCCTTTGGCGCCCTGTTGAGACATTTCGGCGTTTGTCCAGAGGAATCTGAAAGAAACACAACCGTTTTTTTTTGTTTTGTTTTGTTTTGTTTTTTAAATCCCATCTTTTCTTTCCTGTAATGGAACACAGAACTTTGGGCATTTGGCCTAGAGAAAAGTCTATCTGGCTTGGAGCAAGAGGGATACAAGAGAGAAAGAAAGAAAGAAAGAAAGAAAGAAAGAAAGAAAGAAAGAAAGAAAGAAAGAAAGAAAGAAAGAAAGAAAGAAAAGAAAGAAAGAAAGAAAAGAAAAGAGAGAGAGAGAGAAAGAAAGAAAAGAAAAGAGAGAGAGAGAAAGAGAGAAAGAGAGAATGAGAGAAAGAGAGAGAGAGAGAGAGAGAAAGAGAGAAAGAGAGAGAGAGAGAGAAAGAGAGAAAGAGAGAAAGAGAGAAAGAGAGAAAGAGAGAAAGAAAGAGGGAGGGAGGAAGGGAGGGAGGGAGGGAGGGAGGGAGGGAGGGAGGAAGGAAGGAAGGAAGGAAGGAAGGAAGGAAGGAAGGAAGGAAGGAAGGAAGAAACAGGTGCTTCCAGTGGCAGAGGCAAAAAGCAAGAAACAGAATATGAACAGGATCCATGCAGTTTCCCTGACTGACATTGGAGCATCCAAGATCTCCATGGTGGAAAATAAAGAGCATATAGCTGCAATTTATCAATATGACTCAATCAAAACTCTTTTGGCTTCACCCCTTTCCCAACTGTACTTTGACCACACAGCCTTTCAAGTGGGAATCTCAGTTAATACTGTATAAGCATCACATCAGTCAGAACACACACAAAGACTACCTGTGTCCCTCCCTCTTGGGTTCAGAGAATTCGAAAACACAAAATCATATTCTGTACATTCTTTCTTGCCTGTCCTCCACATTATAAGGAAAAAACTAGTCATAGCAGAGAACAGAAGTAACCTAACCAGGGAACAAGCTCTTTACAGTCTGGAAAACCTTTCAAAGTTCAGAGTCATGCCAGCCCTTTATATCTTGCATCTTCATAGGCAACACAAAAGGCTGGCTCACTAGAAGCCTGATTCCAGGCACATCTTCCCAACAGCTACATTCTGACTGTGTCCTACCTCCTCCTTTCTGTCTTTCATTCTTCTGAGCCTCCTCCCCCAGACCCTGCTTAGATACTTACTAGACCTTGACTCCACAGGAAGACTCTCTCAGTTCTCCAACTGGAACTTGACACCAGCTAGGCAGAAGACTGAACAGTGTATGGCCAGAGAAGCTTTTATAAGATTCCAACAGGTCCTTGGGAGGATCCCATTTCTCAACAGACATGCTCAGCTGACACTTACATCCCAGAGGTATTCATCACTCAGATAGCACTGTAGGTGGTGCACGTGGACAACCAAGTCACTTCACAGAGGTGCCAGGATTGCTGTGGTGTGTTTACTTTTCAAACCAGACACTGTTCATAGCTGGGAGGGCTGTATGTGTGCTCAGAGAAGGCCTGCGGGGAGGGGGGTCAAATGAGGAGAGGTCTGGGGTTCTCTCCTAAACACTGTGTACACACACACAGAGCTGAGGAATGGGGGGGGGGGAACACCTGTACTGTTCTACTTTCTCACATACTTATTCATTCATGTACAGCTATCTCCTTATCATTTGTTGTCTTCTTTGCATCTCTATGGCCCTTGATTCTTGTCTTTGCATAGCAGGTTGCAGGCTATGTGATGAACCCTCTGGGTTTTGTCCAAATGCTTCTAGAGAGCATTGAATGAAAATGATAGTGGGGATGGGAATCCCAATTGAGGTTTCTTCCTATCACCATTGACAGGAGGAATAATCCAGGCAAGGTTAAGGAACCAATAAGACCCAAAGAAATCACTTTACCATATTCCCATAATGTAACCCTAATGGATCTCAGACTAAAATGGGTAAGGCAATGGGTAAGGCCTATTGGAAAATAGCAAGCTGGCTAGCCCATGGAGCTCCTGTTTCTGATATCATCTCCCTTGAGGATAGATTTTTCCCTAAGACTACTAACAAATAGAAAAAAGACAAAACAAAACAAAATGACAAGGATAAAATAAAAAAGCAAAGAAGGAAGAGGAGGAAAATAAAAGGGAGAATGGCCCGAAAGTTCGAATAGTAATTGTTGCAATTTGAGTAGTTGATTTATAAAACTGGAGGAAATTTGGAGTTCAACTGCCTCTGAACTGCCTTTCAATCACTGAAACTACCTGCTCACACCAACCAGGAGTATGAGACATAAGAGAGTCTAAGACTAAGAATTCAGGGATTAAGAGTGAGATAGGCTTTGGGGTGCGTTGTTGGGTGTGGCATGAGGAAACAGACAAGGAAAGACAAGTCATAGAAGATACCCGTTTCATTTACCATAGCTTTAGAGCCTGATTAACAGGTTGCCTGCTGTACCAGAGCACCTGGCAAGAAGAGGTAAAACATTCCAAGAAGAAAAATCAATGTTAGAAAAGAGAAGGAAGTAATGAAATAATAAGTCAGATGCTGGTTCTCCTCTGGAAAAGTATGCAAAAGGTGAAGAAAACCAGGGTGATAGCAATCAATATGAAGAGATCAAGTAGATACTCACTGTATCTACCTCTTACACCAACTTTATGCATCACTGTTAACTCTTATCAACTGAGGGGCTAGCTGCTTATCTTGTATAGAAAGGCTGACTTGCAATTATCTCTTCATCATAAATATTTTTTAGTATCCCCTGAGGAAGCCATCCCAATCCCAAAGGAATATTACATGAACACCCAAACTCGGTGACTTAAGTACCCTTAACTCCTTTATACACACACACACACACACACACATACATGCACATACACACACACACACACACACACACATACACACACATATACACAGGCACCACCACCACTACCACCAGATGGGAGTAATCTTTGGCAGAGACGGTGTCTTTATTCTCTATTCAAACCCAAACCTAAAATTCTAGGATTCCAAGAAAATGGGACGCCAACATTTCACACCTGTCTCCTCAGCTTACTTCTCTAGAAATGCTCCGCACTCACTCTCCTGGCTGGCCAGCTGGCAATAATCAGACTGTGGTGTGCCTACTCACCAAAGCCCACAGTGTCCATTCAGGCAACCTTCTCTGTGATTAAGAGATAAACTTTTCCAAATGGTGGCTCCCTTTTGAGTGTCACCTCCCTCCAAGAATGGAGCTTTTCTGGGTACTGCTTGTCTCATCTCAACCCTGGTCCCCACTGTGCAAATTAGTATAAGGGGCACAGGTCTCAAACATGATTCTGTTTTTCAACCTGGAAGTTCCCAAGTTCAGAGTGCTAAGTTTTAAGTCGATTCAGTGCCAAAATACACACTTTAGATAAAGAAAGGAACTGTGACTTGATGTGGAGGGAGGGACTTGGAAGAGGTAAACAAAACCACATTGAGAGGCCATGATGCCAGGAATCAAAAGCTTTATTATTGTTCAGGAAAGCTGATTTTTCAATATCTCATTTTCAAAAAGCTGTGTCAGAGAGAAAAAGGAAAGCCAATGAATCTTAGAGCTGGGACCTCAAGACCTCATGGTAGATGGGCTTTAGGGAGATGAAGAAGGGCATACAGAGAGTTCTAGAGGTATTTTGCAAGAAAACCAAGGAGGAGACCCTCTACTACAGGGCTGCCAATGCTGCTTTCCATGTTCTTCATCCCCAGGTCAGCAGCAACCTCCAGAGCAGCAGCTGGAGCCCACAGACTGCTGATGGCTGCTGCCGCCACTGCTGCCTCCACTGCTGCTGCCACCACTGCTGCCAGAGCAACTGCTGCTACTGCTGCTGCCTCCACTGCTGCTGCCACCGCTGCTGCCACCACTGTTGCCACAGCAACTGCTGCTACTGCTGCTGCCTCCACTACTGCTGCCACAGCAACTGCTGCCACCACTGCCACCGCTGCTGCCACTGCTGCTACCACAGCAACTGCTGCCACAGCAACTGCTGCCACCGCTGCTGCCACAGCAACTGCTGCCACCACTGCTGCCACAGCAACTGCTGCCACCGCTGCTGCAGCATCCAGAGCTGTGACGTCTGCGACGGAAAGAAAATCGGGGCTTGTGGTGGGTCAGGCAGCAGCTGCCACCTCCAGAGCTGCAGCAGCCCCCGGAACTGGAACCACAGCAGCCCCCAGAACCCAGGCTACAGCAGGAAGAGGCAGGAGGGCACTTTGGGGTCTTGCATTTGGGAGGGGGCTGGCACTGTTGTTGGCTCTGCTGACAGGACATCTCAAAAGGAACTGGATAAAAGTGAAAAATAACACAAAAAATATAAGTTCAACAAGCTCAAATGTTGCTTTGAAGACTGAACTATGAATTTACAATCTTATCTCTAAAATAATTAGAAATTTGAGAACACAATCTCCTAAATTTATTTCAAGAATAAAAATTACAAATGATCCCAGTATAAGCACTTTTTCTTTTCAAATATATTCACTGTAAGGTCAAAAAGTACTAGTACAATCTTCCATTACCTTTCCCTTCCAGAAAGACCCTTCCCTCCTAACCCTCTTTTCCCCTTGTTCATCTTCAAGGTTACCCTCCACCCAGAGCCCCTTTCTGCCCAGAAATCCAGGATCAGAGTCCCTCTGATCTGAGAGATGTTCTACTTGCCTCAGGTACTGGAGTAGATCACTCAGCAAGTAATGGATTGAGGTGCTATGAGAATCATCTGCCTTTTATACAGTTCTCCTCTGACCTGAGAGCCTCATGTGTGGGATACTGATAACATCTTTCATGAGGGGTATGTGTGACTCCCTCCCTTTACATCCCAAAGATCTAATTCCTCCCTCTATAAGCATCTGAGGTATTAATGCCCAAAAAGAGCCTCTGAGAATTGCAAACCTGTTGGATGGTGATGGAACATTGCACATTACATACAGTTCTTGTCTGTCAATGTCATAAGCAGCTATGCTATGCTTCCCATTTCCTGAGCTGAACCAGCTCGAATCTAGAGCTCAGAGGGTAAAGATAACATCTGTTTGTTCTTCAGAACAGAAAATAGAGGAGATTAAATTGTCCTTTTAGAATATAGACAAGAACCCAAAATAAAACCTGTGGCCCAAGCCAATGAACTAATATGGCTCTTTTTTTGGATGGTGCCATAACCTTGATCAAGAATGCTGGATATTCTATTGATGCTATTTCAGGCAGGTCGAATGCATATGATAGAGATGGCTGGGATTCAGCCCATGAGCATTTTGACACTGATAAATTTCTCCAAGTAGGCAGAAATCATTGAAGGCCCTGTTTCTACATATGGTCCTAACGAATAAATCTCCATCTGGCCAAACATAGAGGGACCATGTGTATATAGAGGGTGAAACGAGAGGAGAAAATTCAGCTGAAGTTGACAGAAGTGGAGCTTCAGCTGTAATCATCCCAAAGGGGAAGGCTGAGAGATCCTTTTCTCATAGATGACCTTAGGTAGAGATTTTTCTTCCAATGCTGGGGAAAGGGGCTGGGAGATTGTGCAAGGAGCTTTTGATCACCTATGATGAAATACAAATGTATTTCCCCTACAAAGAATGTTCCATGGGTAGATTAAATCGCCTGAGAAGTCACTAACATTGATTGAGCTGGGAGAGTGATCAGTATTTAAACAGCTCGTAAAGAAAGGTACAGGGAAAAATCTGGAGATGGGGAGAGCAGCAGTATCTGGGGTCCATTCCTGGGTAGATGGGCTGTAGTGGGAAGCACCATGCACAGTCATAACCACATTCCAGGACCAGTTTCTAGCTTTGCTCTCTCCACCCATGCATCCTCAAGCAACTTGCTTAATTGTCTCTGTAAAATCGGGCTAATAACAGTCCCTAGCTCCCTAAGTAAGGCAATACAGATAAAGATCTCGGAGCAGAGCTAGACCTGTGAATAAATGCAACTTTAAAAAGAATCTGCATCAAAGTGCTGATGTGCCAAATGACACCCATCAATGCACATAATCTTTGTGTTTTGAAGTACCGGTTTAAAAAAATTAAAATTTATGAAAAGCTATGGAATTTCAGAAGTAAAAATAATCAAATCGCTATAGGTCCCATTTCTTCCATAAGTGTATCCTAAAACTATGTGAGACGAGGAAAGAATGTTTGTCTCAAACCATTTGCAGATTGAGCTAATTGTCATTAAGCTCCTGGAATAATGCCTAGCACATAACACAACAGCTCTGATGTCACATGTGTTCATAACAAAAGATTAAGAGCATTTATGTGTCATTGGAGAATGAGGGTATACAGAGACCATTCTAATAAAAATAGTATCGCTTGTAATCCCATCCTCAAATATTTCACTATTTTCCTTCCTTTAAATTTTACTACGTATCAGTTTTAGTGGTCTGTGTTTTGCATTGACTCTTCATAATTGTCATCATCGTATTTATGTAATGGGTTTTCTTATTAAATTTTCAACTAAGATTTTAATGGGAACATTCCCCATGTACTCCATCTGAAGGGTGAAAGACAGAAGATCATTTCAAACAGCATGTTCGTGTGGCAGGAGGCATTAAGTCCTAAGACAGGTTCCATGTTTGAGTCTCAGCTCCTCACTTAGCAGCAGTGTTACCTTGAACAAATTATTTTAACCCTTTCCCTCACTATCCTCATTTTCAAAATGAAGAAATAGATAGCATCTATCTCCCAGGATCATTTACAGAGTGGCTAAAATTCATAACTCCTTAGAATAGTACCTAGCATATATAATAATTATTTGATAAATATTTTTAAAAGTGATACCTGACACCATTCTACCTCCGAAGTTCATAACACAAGGTACAGGTTGAGCTTAGAGACTATCAGCAGGGAAGCAAATATGCTTTTTCAGTTGCTAGATCTCAGCAAGAACCAACTTCCCTTGCTGAGAACCATAAGAGGAATGCAGAACACAGCTCAATTTTCTAGAAAAAGAAGCTCAATAGTAGCTAAAGAAATCATATGTTTAATACATGAGTATGATAAAGTATAAAAGGAATAATACTCATCTGCTTACAATTATTTGCATATACATCTGCCCACGTGACTGCGCAGATAAGGTCTTTGTATTTAGAAATCTCTGAGCGCTCTAACTCGTTGCTTTGTAGTCAGTAGAGTCTCAATTTTCATTTCTTCATCAGGTTGGATTTGCCATCTGGAAAAGAGGGCAGATACCTCCAAAAATCTGGACTAAGACTTCTTTTAACAACTTCCATACGATTTATGAAATGATAGAATATCTGGATATGATGCTGACTGCCATTCATAGATGGTGATTCCCAACCCTAGAGGCCACAGCACTCTCCAAGAACTCACTGGGTAGCTCTAATGCAAATTAGGTCAGACGATCATTGGTTTAGATCAAATACCTCTGTTTTAGACAAGAAAACTGAGACTGGGAGGTCAAAGAAGCTTCTACTGACTCACACAAGGTTAGAGATGGAGTTGGACTTCAAACTCTCATCTACCATTTCTCCATCACAGCATTCTGCCTCTTAGATGAATTTAATTTCTTTATGTGATTTTTTTTCTAACAAGAGTTACTTTATAAATGGCCATGCCTCTAAATGTGTAAGCTCTATAGCTGAAGTTTAGATGTATTTGAGGAAAAGAGTATATTTCCATAGAATGTGTACAGACATTTCCTTTGAATCGGTGCAAAATGATATACACAGCACTTACATGCTACATGGTATTTTAAGCAATATGTGTGTAATTTTAAGTATATTATAGGAAGTAGATAGTTTGATGCAAATAATTTTCCTTGTATATGAGAGACTTAAACATGCTGGGAAGGGAAGCAAAGTGGGATTCACAGGAAATCTAGGGCTAATCCCTGGGGATGCCTGGAATTTGCTTATTAAGCATGGCTGTTGAATTTAGAGTGAAAATAGTAATAACTATGGTGAATCATGGCCTGAATCTCACTTCTTGAAAAATCACTGTTACTTCTGCGTTCCTCAACAACTTTGAATGAAGTCTCTGTCTGAAAATGATTGTCAGACATCACCAGGGAGGGGCTATCTGTCAGGCCCCAAGGAACCTTCCTGGGGCAGCACCACAGTGAAACCTCTCCTGTGGCCCAGAAGTTCAGCCTTGTCTACACCTGACTTATTACTGCATCTAACTCACAAACACTAATGATGTCAATGAGATTCAAATATGAGCCTGACATGTAAATCTTCTTCCTGTAGGAAAACTCCTGGAAGAAGTAGAAATGCAATCTGGACATCTGACCATGAGGTTGCAAAAAGAGCTTTGATGGTGGACAAAACTAGACAGCCTCATTACATCATACGAACACTTTAATTCTTGGGCAGATACAGAAGGTGGTCCTTGAAACCCTATAGACTGGCTTCTTTTTTCCTGTTCCTCTCTGCCAATCGTGTCCAAGAAACTGATCCTAGGAAGCAGGAGACTGGCATAGTGTTATTCACCCTCCACATGCTGATCCAGGATTTAACATTTAAAGATGACAACCCCACTTTGGGGACAAGGTTTCTCTGTACAGCTATAGCAGTCCTGGAACTCACTCTGTAGACCAGGCAACCTTGAACTCAAAGAAATCTGCCAGCCTCTGACTTCTAAGTTCTGGGATTAAAACCATGGCCCACCATAGCCTGGCTTATTTGTGTTATTTTTAATACTCATGATTGCCTTGGTGTAATCTCTGGTAGTCAGTAATGCCCATCTCCATTCCTCAAACTTGTGAATGTTTTACCTTATACACCAGAATGGACTTGGCATGATTGTCTAAAGTGTTAAAGGTCTTGAGATGGGAAGACCTTCTTGGATTACAGATGTGGGCCTAATGTCATCATGAGGGTTACTCTAAGAAGCAGGCAAAAGGATGAGAGTCAGAGAAAGAAAATATGACAAGGAGAGCTGGTGTTGGAATGAGGCATTTTAAAAATGGAGGAAAGGTCCACAGGCCCAAGACTGTGGATTATTTCTGGAAGCTAGAAAACACAAACAGCTTTCCACCTCCTACAACTAAAAGGTGTGCTGGGTAGGGGTAGGCTTCTAGAAGTTCTGCTATGAATCTGCAAACCTTCTTCCTTCCTACTTCCTTCTTAGACACTGCTGTGCCCAATAATAGAATACTTAAGACAGACAAAAGCAGGAACACTAGAGGCTGAGTCATGGCTGCTTGAACACGATGTGTATGCGTGAGTGCTTTCTGAGAAAACCCGACTTCCAGGGACTGAGCCACTCCACCTCAGCCTGGCAATGTGTACCTGGTCCATGATCTTTCAGATGCTCATA